TCTCTTGTGGCATTTTCCTTACTCTACTTGCTCAGCATTCTGTGTTTCACTTCTCTTCACTGCAAGACGAATGCTCTGTGACGGCCTGGACTGTTACACCATCAGACCCAGAGAGAGTCCTCTGCCTTACTCAGTAAATACCTTATGCCCAAAATAGACCTGCCTAGTCTTGCTTCCCTAACCTACTAAACTATCTTCTTTCATCTAAGCTTCTGTTGGGTGTCACTCTTCCCAGATATAAAGTTGCCCGGGGAAGCAAATCTCTTACTCCATGAAGGGCATTCTCTCATTTACACCAAAGTCTGGGGCTTGTAATTACAAGAAAAATGTCCCCACATATCACCATCTTAAATATACTGTGCCACCGTTTCATTAGACCTGGTTTATTCACTATTTTGGTGAATCCCAGGAACAAGTTGATTTTGTTTACCTGTCTCCCAGGCTTTCAGGGAGTGGTGTTCTTTTGATGTAGAAAGAAATATCTTCGTCATGCAAATGGACCCTTCAGAATATCTAAAATTACTCTTTTCTTTTTCATTCATGAATCAGTCTCTTTAACACAGTCAATGGCTACACAGAAAAACCTTGGATTAAATATTTGGTTGAGTGTTTACAATGTAATACTTACTCGTTTGTAATCAGATGAGAAACAGGGTCCACTGAGCCAGCATTTTAAAATGAGTACTATAGTTCTTAATATCTGATCAATTTAGTTTTAATATTAACATCTTAGTATCAAAGCACAATTCTTGAATATATATGTATTTATGTGCATATTTAAATTATCCATCTTCTAGTTTACAAGTTTTAGGTTGAAGGAGACTGCAAATATGCTTTAATCATTATATGGGTGATCATGTTGACAAAACCATTTGCAAGTATAATTTTCAGAAAGTTAAAAAGCAAGACTCTCACACAAATAGGAAGAAAACCAGAAGTCTTAGATTTTGTTAGATGCAATTAATAGAGAAACCAGGGAGCTGTTAACACTGATTCAAAAGAAAATTCAAGGACCCAGAGAGTTATAGGTGGTTGAAGGATTGCAGAAATAGATTTGCTAACAAATGCAGACCTGGTTAACGTCCCACTGGGCAATAACCTTTGCAATGCTAACTGGAAAAGATCACTTGTACTGCTGTCAGGGTTTTCTACAAGTTAACCTCTATTCTTATAAACCTGCAAAATAGCCTTCCTGGTCAGACAAAGGTACACAGACCTGAAACATTGGGAAATCCCCAGGCAGCATAGGCTGCTAGATAACATCTAGCTCCACACAGAAAGGGTACTCAGGATTTTCTCTGACCTGTTCCCATTTTGCATACTTGCTCTTGACCATATTAACTAAGAGAGGCATGAAAACAAATCAGTTTGCTTTTTCTGTGACCTATTTATAATTAGATATATAAAAGTGGACACAAAAAATCTCCCATTGGCACACCTCCCCTCTCCACCACTCGCCCCCCATGTTTCATCTTGGGCTCCCAGTCAGATGGCTTGGGTTCAAACCATGGTTCCATCATTCACTACTGGGTGATCTTGGGCAAATATTTAGCCTCTCTCTACTTCCGCTTCACCATCATAAAAGAGGATTTTAAATGATCGTACCTTTATGGCCTTGCTACGAGGATTAAATAAGATCATGCACAAGTGCCCAGGAAATGTGAGTTGTATTATTAGTACTAGGAAAAGGTTAATTATTTTACCAGAGTCTTTATGCCAGACATGAAACATTTTGAGAAATAACCTGTCTTAAGTCTTGTTAAAAAGGGATTGGCTCTACATTTTAAAGCAGAAGAAAACTAATTAAATCATTGAAATGAGCCAATGAGTAAACTAATAATTAAACTTGTTTAAGAGATTATAATAAATTCTAGATGGTCAAAAGGATAATTCACTTCAACTTTGATGTTAAAGGAACAAAAATGTATGAGTCAGGGGTGGCAGAAAATTAATCTCTGTTGAGTTAAGGTGTCCCAGGCAGTGTGTTCACACGTCAACAAATGAGTATTTTCAGAAAGAGAATAACTTCCCCCCATTCTTAAGGAGCCATGTTAAAAATGAAAAGCAAACAGAACCAAGATGGCAGTGTGAATAGAGCAGTGGAAATCTCTTCCCAAAACCATATATATTTTTGAAAATACAACAAATACAACTATTCCTAAATGAGAGACCAGAAGACACAGGACAACAGCCAGACTACATCCATACCTGCGAGAACCCAGCGTCTCACGAAGGGGGTAAGATACAAGCCGCGGCCCAGTGGGACCTGAGCGCCCCTCCCCCCAGCTCCTGGCGGGAAGAGAGGAGACGGAGTGGGGAGGGAGAGGGAGCTCAGGGCTGCCAAACACCCAGCCCTAGCCACCTGCACCAGACTGCAGACACACAGTGTGTGTGTGGGGTGCTGGAAACTAGGGAAACAGGACAGTAGGACCAGTGAGCAGGTCCCGCAGCCGGTGCACCCAGGACAAAGAAAAGTGAGTGCTTTTTGAAAGTCTTAAAGGGACAGGGACCCCACAGCTGGACCGAAGTGTCCCGGGACACTTAGAATCCCAGGGAACTCCAGGTGCCCAAACCCATGGATGGCAGCGCAGCTTGGAGGCACCTCACGGCAATAAACAGCCTCCTACCTGTTCCCCATCCAACACGGCTCCACCATATTGGAGCCTGACACAGGCCACACCCACAGCAACTGCAGAGCTCCACAGTGGCCAGGAAAGAATTAGAAACCCCGCCTGCACACAGCTACGCAGCACAAGCCGCTATGGGTTGCTGTTCTCCCAGGAGAGGAAGGCCACAAACCAGCAAGAAGGGACTTTCTCTTAGCCAACACACGTGCCAGCTCCCCACAAATACCTCTATCACCATGAAAAGGCAGAAGAATTTGATACAGACCAAGATCACAGAGGTAAACCCTGAGAAGGAGATAGACCTAACCAATCTCCCTGAAAAAGAGTTAAAAATAAAGCTCATAACCATGCTGATGGCCATGCAGAGAAATATGCAAGAGCTAAGGGATGATGTCCAGAAGGAGATTGCAGCAATGAAACAATCTCTGGAAGGATTTATAAGCAGAATGGATAAGATGCAAGAGGCCATTGATGGAATAGAAACCAGAGAACAGGAACGCATAGAAGCTGACGCAGAGAAGGATAAAAGGATCTCCAGGAATGAAACAATATTAAGAGAACTGTATGACCAATCCAAATGGAACAATATTCACATTATAGGGGTACCAGAAGAAGAAGAAGAGAGAAAAAGGGATAGAAAGTGTATTTGAAGAAATAATTGCTGAGAACTTCCCCAAACTGGGGAAGGAAATAATTGATCAGATTACAGAAGTACACAGAACCCCCAACAGAAGGGACCCAAGGAGGACAACACCAAGACACATAATAATTTAAATGACAAATATCAAGGACAAGGACAGAGTTTTAAAGGCAGCTAGAGAGAGGAAAAAGGTCACCTACAAAGGAAAACCTATCAGGCTATCATCAGACTTCTCAACAGAAACCTTACAGGCCAGAAGAGAATGGCATGATATATTTAATGCAATGAAAGGGAAGGGCCTTGAACCAAGAATACTGTATCCAGCACGATTATCATTTAAATATGAAGGAGGGATTAAACAATTCCCAGATAAGCAAAAGTTGAGGGAATTTGCCTCCCACAAACCACCTCTACAGGGTATTTTAGAGGGACTGCTCTAGATGGGAGCACTCCTAAG